TCTATGATTCTATGATTCTATATTTGTTTTTACTTAGTATCTTTTTGAGAGGATGCTTCCTTGTTCCTCAATTATTTTTGCCATGTAACCCATCTCTTGTTAGCTGATGTTTTTCAGTAGTTTTTGTTAAGAGTAGAGCTTCTCTGCTGTAAAGAAAAGCAAACCAATTATTTCTTTGAACTGTAGATCCTTTTTTTTGTTGCTTCGCTTTGCATTGCTCTCAGGACTGTTTGCGTAAGTCAGTTTCAGGATTTGAGCCGTACGTTTTTATGTCAAAAGTTATTTTGTGATACTGTTGTGTACTCTGGATGAACACACTTAATTTAAAGATTTAGTGTGTCACAATAGAGCATTTCAGTAGAGGTTTTGTTGTTTATACAGAGGGTAGTGTGTTGTTTAAAAGTGTGTGCTGCTCTTGCTTGTGTTAAACTTTTGTTTGTTTTGGGTTTTTTTTGAGAGAGCCTTTGATAACTGACAAGTTTGCTTTCTAGCAAAACTTGTTTTTTAGTAAAAAGGATAGCATAACATAACGTTGTGGTGGCAAGTACTAAGTTTGTGTGTTCACCATTGGTTGACAGAAAATTGGTGGTCTATGCTTGAACCTCCGTTATTCCTTAAGATAGTGGAACTCTACAAGGATGTTGTAGTCCACCTCTTGAAGTTATGCAAGATTGGCATTCCAGCTTCAGAAAGAAGAATACTTACCAATTTTCTACACACAGCTTTCAGAGTTCTGGAAATATTGCACAGAGTAAGTTTACATCAATTTTAGCCAATTACGTATCTGTCTGGTTTTGTCAGCATCTATGCGTTCTGTAGTTGTTAAAGAAGTTAAGTTACAAGAGAGTTTTAAATACTTAGACTTGCATCTACAGAGGTATCTGTAGTTGTTCCATCTGGACCTATAAACCATTGGAATTCTGGATTCCAGTCTGACATGGTGATGGAATTACCTATTTTGTTGTGAATGCATCTGTGAGGATGTCTTGGAAAAAATTGCCTCTTAAGTTTGAAATGATAGCAAATAAGATCACAAATGGAAGGTAAGAGCAAGCTGTCTTTTGAACAAGAAAGATCTGCACAGTTTTACCAAGGCAAACGTTTATTTTCTGATTTTGTTTATTCCATTTGTTACTATTTTAACTTAATTCATGAAAACGAATGAATTAATGAACTTTGAACGAAAATAGCCGAAATCTTTTGGAGTAACCAGACTGTGCATATCAGTGTCTTGTCTAATTGCTGCTGAGGTTTCCCTTCCCACCCCGTTTTTTCCCTCTGTAGTTTATTCTAGTCCTATAACATTTTGTGTTTCTATGCTAAAAGAACATTTTGGGCACTCCTTAAGGTGCTGGTCAAGTATTGTATTTGTACAACCTCGCAAAATGGGCCCAGGTGTCTAAATTTGACCTTTATGTACTACATATAACAGCCCTCCTCCCCTGGCTGTTAGAAAGAATGGAAAATATTTCTGCTTTGAAGGTTGGAACTTGTATGCTATGGTTTGCTCAGCTTTTCTTTATTCTTTATGGAGACTGTCAAATTAAGCCTGAGAGTAAGACTGTTTAGGAACCATCTTGTTGGAAGTACAAGATATTCATTACAGATTCCTGTATGGAAAGCTGTTGGTATATAATAAATTATTATTTTGCAGTCTTTAGAATCTCTCACTGCTCAGGCTTCCAGTAGCTGTAAATGTTAACAGCTGAAGTTGATCTTAAAATCTTAAAGCTTCATGGGTAATTGTAGAATTGTATTGTGGCTTTCCTAAGTGCCCTTTTTTAAAAAATTCTAACTTTGACTAATAAATAGCTACGTTGTAGAAAGAGTTAAATTTGTACCTACCCAGATACTTATATTGGTGTATTCTTTTATATGTAAATAGCTACGTTGTAGAAAGAGTTAAATTTTTACCTACCCAGATACTTATATTGGTATATTCTTTTATATATATTCTATATTAGCAGGCATGGACTAAAGTCAGAGTTAAAAATGGGGCAATGTATCTGGATTATTTCACTAATTTAGTATCTGATGGTTTGAGGGGAAGTGGGATGATGGGGGAAACGTTTAAGAAAAGTAGGCTTAGGTTATCTGGTTATAAAAACAGAATTGGGGGTCTTGCTGTTTTGGCAGTTAATGGTGCTTAACGGTCCTTCGGAAAAAGAAGGTGTGTTAGGAAAGTGTGGATGCTTCTGGATTAAAATTATATTGTAGAGAGAAGTTACGGTTATTTTACCACGTCTCTCTTTTTCTAAGCTTAATGTTTTTAAATAGAAGCTGTTCCTTTGGTCACAGGTAATAGGGAGAGTATTCATAATGCAATTAAGAATAGAGTTCTTGAATCATAGTTTGTAAGCTTGTGCAAACACAGGACCAAGTATTTGTTCCATCGTGTATATGAATATATACATTTATCACTGTTCTGTGAGATCATATGATGTCTCAAAGTGGCAGCACTGTGTTGTGCCATGCCGTATGCTCTGTTTATCTTACCTTATTTTTCTTTGCCTGTTTGATGAAATTCTGAGTAATCCGTGTATCCATGTCTTCAAGATTGTATTTTGCATTCTTGTAGACACTGTTGTTGTTCTAGATTTTTTTTTTTTAGTAGCTGATTGTCTGTGGTAGCTGTATCAAATGCCTGAAAAACATGGAAAATAACCTTTTGAAAACTGTTACACAAAGTGCTAATAAAAACTAAATTGCACTTCTTTAGGTAAATGAAAGAGGACAAGTTATACAGTATGACAGATTTTACATTCATGAGATACAAGATTTGATAGATATCAGAAATGACTACGTCAACTGGGTCCAGCAGCAGGTATTTGGAATGGTAAGTTGTGTTGTGTTTTGGGTTTTTTTTTATGTTTTTTGCCCCCCCATGTTTTGTTTCAGTTTTGTTGCTTTAGATGCCTATAGATTCTCTAAATATGGGTCCTTTCTTTTCATAAAAATATCTTCACAGATGACAAATGCTGAGCAAACTCATCTTATGTCAGGTTCTAGCTAAAGAAGGATTTTTAAATTGGTGTGCTTCTTGTAGAGTACCGTTCTTAGGATTGGCACTGTTCAACATTTTAGTCCCTCAATTAAAAAGTGATTTTGAATGCTGTCACTTGAGACTTGCCATGTCAAAAAAGTTAGGAAAGTGATAATTCATGACAGGAAAACATCCAGAATAACCTGAACTGCTATATAAGATGGGCTCAATCAATGAGGAAGTGGAGACTGTGTTGGAAAACTAAGTCTAGAAGCATGATAGGGAGTTACAGGGGACAGATAACTAACATAGTTTTCTACTTTGAGTGTAGCAACAAGAACTGAGATAATTAATTCCTGGATCTGCAAACAGAAGAGTGGTAAGTGGGAGTAAATTAATGACTGTGCAGAGAATTAGTGAGTTGGACAGGATTTTGCCACACAGTTCTCTGACTTAAGCTTTTAAAGAATAGTGAGTAAGTAAATATGCTTCCTCTAGGCACCTAAATTTAACTTTACCTAGAAGGTCCTAAACATGGGAGACCTACTTTTGCTGTATTTTATGAATAGAAAGCAAGTGATGGTGTCTACCAAAGAATTAAAATTGCAATGTAAAATAGCAGCAGGAGGGAGACTGGGGGAGCGTAAAGAAATAATGAGTCAGTATTGGCAATCATGACAGACGTTTGTTTCAGCCAAGCTTATCTGAAAAAATAACTGGTGTGTGATGTAGGCTGGTGTTGGTAGCTAAGAGGGGTGGTATACTAGATGAGATGTAGAAGCTAGGGATAAGCATTGCAGGGCCTTGGAATTAGAGACAGGTTGTATATTTGGAACAGAGAAAGGTATGCCAGCAAAGAGTACAGAAATGATGGAATTTAAAAGCTGATGGCCTCTGCAACTGTGCTTTAAATGGATATAAACAAACTCAAATTGCATATGTCATGATCAGAGAAGACAATAGTGAATATGGGAAAATTAGAGCTGGAAAATTGCTTTTTAATGACAGTCTCAAGCTCCGCTTGTTGATCAAACAGGAAGATTGAGCAATAGCTTGACGTTACTGAGAAAATAGCAGATACTGAATTTCCTTTTAATCATCATTATTTTGCCATGCTTTTGTGCAGTTTCAAGTTCAGCAGAACACGTTATTTTGATTTATTATAGGACTGAAAGAAATTCAGTGACCTTAGTCAGATCTCATTTGTAAATGGTTTTGATGGCCTTTTCCTGCCTTCATGTCCACGAGTTTCCGGAGTTCTTGCTTTTAAAATAAGAAGCCCTACTTGCCTATTGAACCAGTACTAATGAATCAAAATTTCTTTTGATAGTGTAATTTTTATTGTCATAACTTGAGGCAACTTGCTTAGTTCCTTAATTAAAATGTGGAGGAGAAAATACAGAAGAAAAGAGAATCTCAGAAGTGTTCAGAGTATTCTCAGAGAGAAACTTGGAAGAAAAACTTTTTTTCTTTCAACATCAGGAAAAACGAGTGAGGAAAAACTGAAGGTACTAAATAATGAACTATTGATTCGCAGAGCTGTTCTTGAGATACAGCTTAAAGAAGTTGAGAAGAAATGTTTGAATTAGGAATAAATAATGGTAGACACGGTAGGAGTACAGAACTGCAGAAGTCTATCTGTGGCAAACGGAGTGCTCAAATCCGATGTTTCCTGTAGGAACTGGGGATGGAGCTAGAAAGCAAAGTGTTCTGGCCATCGCTTCCCGTGAGCCATGGATGCCTACACATTTGACTTCTGAGTCTCATATTAGTTTGTCATTACCCTGTATTCTTTTTCTGTTTTCTGCCTGCTGAGTGGAAATGAGCTTGGCTTTCAGCGCAGGATAAGGAGGGTAGCGTGGCACCAGGTGGATGATAACGTGGTTTCTTAGTACAGTTGGCCTAGCTTGTTGTGAAGCCTGCCCGCAGTCCCAGCCTTATGTGTTGGTCTGCCTCAAATTTCAAGAGTCAATTGCTTTTCTCAAATCATGTCTTATCATAGGCTCAAAGGATTCTTGAGACTTTAGCATAAAGTCATGGGGTTCCTCTGTATTTTTAAATTTCTACTTATTAAAAATGTTTTGCATTTAGTTTGATATGCTACCGTCACTTGAGAATGAAAAAACTAAAAAAAACAAATGCCATTTATTAGTGTATGGAAGTAAACATTTAAAATGTTTAATTTTTTTACACCTAAGAAAACGTGATACTTTAATGATCCTTTTTTTTTAAAGACTGTTATATAGGGTGTTGAAAAGCATGGTTGTATTTGGTAGATTAATTTGAATGTTTATGGCTGATGCTTGCTTATCAGTAAACATTCTCTTGGGGGGGGAAGCTGTAGATAAATATTTTGAATTCTACATCAGAGATGAATAATTAATGCAGACACTAATGCTGCTTTTTCATCTTAATTATTGCTACCTTTGTGCAAATGCTGTCATAGGATGTCAACCATGGATTAACTGAGGTAAGAGTGGTTGCAATCTGATTTCTTTTGCAGAATAGATGGAAATCAGAAATGTGAATGTCAGGGATTGTCTGATGGGTTCTGTTGGGAGTAAAGCTTTAAGTTAGCACGGCCGTAATACGAAAAGTTTTTTTGGGGCGAAAATATGTAATTCTTTGTATTGCAAATTCAGAGCAGCACTTAAAAACAAGGACTACTTTGGTGATACCTACTAGCCATAATAAAAGTTCTGAAATTAAAATGTACTAAGTAAGAGTTTGTGTGTGTGTTGGTATTTTTTTTTTTTTTGCTGAAGTACTAAACAATTGAAAATCTGCTTAATTTTCCTAAGATGCTTTGCTCCTGCATTGACAATGAGTAAAGATTTCTTTCTTTTTTTTCAGTAAAATAGAGGTATTAAATGAGTGTTATTGCAATGGCTTCTTTAACCATGATTATAGTTTTTAAACAAGCTGAGATACAACATGATTCTTTTCATTCTAGTTAACAGATATTCCCGTTACAATTTGCACATACCCATTTGTATTCGATGCCCAGGCAAAGACAACTCTCCTGCAAACAGATGCGGTCATACAGATGCAGGTGGGAGTCTCAGTTTTAAATGTTATGAATTCTTTTTTTTTTTTTTTTTTTTTCCAGTTAGGAGTCTTTAGGAGTTACTCTTGATGTTGTTTTTTTGTGGATTTTCTGTTTGGTTTTTGGTTTTTGGTTTTTATTTAAACTTCATTTAATCTGTTCTCCATAGGAGTGAGGGATGTAGTTTTAATCTTAGGGTATGTAAGTGATAGAAGCTAGTGGTTTGGTGAGTTTGAGATCTCATTGAAATTAGATTGCTCAATAACTGCAGTAACACCACGGCAGGTGTTAACAACCCCCAAAAAAAACCCAACTCAAACAAAAAAAACCCTCAAAAGAACAAACAAAAAAACCAGCCACTCCCCCCAACCAAAAAACAATCCCATATGAGCAGACTTTAAATGATACATGTTTAGAGCCCAGAGCTGGAAGTCAATCTATCTTGGTAGGGACAGCAGCCAGTTACAGTTACTTGTGATTTCTTATCTTGATGGGACTTGGGAGCTAGTTGTTCTTAAGATTGGTGGTATCAGAGAAGCAACATGTTGGCACTGCGTGATTATTTAGTGCACACCTGATTTCTCGTTTCATCTGTCACGCCACTTTCCAAATGCTGCTAAACTCTGACATCTGGTCGGTGTCTGCAAGGCAGGAGAAAAGAAGCTTATCTTGAAAATCTAGCAGCTACTCAGGAGAGTGGGAGTAGATTTCCTTATCTTGCAATTTGCAGCAGTTTTTAGCCCTTTTCCTGTTAAATGCAATTATATATGTTACTCCTAATTTTTTCAGTTTCGTTTTAACTAGACACTTTCCTATAAATTAGATACTTGATACGGGTCAAGATATAGAATTGTTTGTATCTCTTGTCCAGAGATAGATACACTAAACAACCCTAAAGTAACTGAGACGATCTTGTGTGTTTTCATGATTCTCTAGGTAGAACTGAAACCAGGGTGATGTGGTGAGCTATACTTTCGTTCAATGTTTGGAATTTTTTTAAAATAAATATAATCCATACCTGTTCAGTTGCTGTAAGGGTATAATAAATCGTACTCTTAAAGGAAAGGAAGAATGAAGGGAGACTACTGCAAAAGTAACAGCAGTAACAGCACCAGCTCCCTCCCTGTGTTTATCATGTTTAACATAATAAAAGTTGTTTTTCTCAGTCTGAAATTAGACAGAAGAGGTAAGTCATTCTCAAGTACTGGGCCTCATGTAGAAAAATAACTAGCTTGCTTTTGTAGTTCATAATAAACATAGTCTCTTATGCCTTTAAAAATGTATATACACACAGTCAATAGCAACATTTGATGAAATCAGGGAAACGTTCACATTGAATCTTTCTATTAGCAATATTAAATAGTATTAAAATACACAAACTTTTCAGAGTTCTGTGCCATGTTCAGAACATTTGCAACAATATTTTGGTTTTGAACCATTGTAATACAAAAATTATAATACAAATGAAATACATTCAACAAATTCCTTTTCATTTTGTGAATTAGTTTTTAATGGATGTTGTCATGCCAGATTTGTATTAAACAGCTTACTCTGCATTCTGAGGCTAATGGGTAAAGGAAAAATATGTTCTGAGATTAAATATTTCCTGAGATAAAAGGAATATGAAACAAATTTGAGTAAATTCAGTAGCTTTCATAATAGCTATTCCCATTCATGTCTTCTGCACTTTTTAAAACCAGACTGGTAGACATTTGGTGTTGACAGGAATCTGATGTTACCTACTGACACTTTCACTTTGTTTTTTTCCCAGATGGCTGTTGATCAGGCTCACAGGCAGAATTTGTCTTCTCTCTTTCTGCCGGTATTTGAGTCTGTCAACCCATGCCTGATATTGATGGTACGAAGGGACAATATTGTAGGAGATGCTGTGGAAGTCCTAAGGAAAACAAAGAATGTAGACTACAAGAAGCCACTCAAGGTATTATCAGTACCTACTGCTCAAAGTGTCTTTCACTGACGTGCAAGTAATTGAGAATGTTTTTGGACCAATCTTGTTTCACAATCTGTTTTTAATTCAGTGCTAACTGAATTGTGTGTTTCAGGTTATTTTTGTAGGGGAAGAAGCTGTTGATGCTGGAGGTGTTCGCAAAGAATTTTTTTTGCTCATCATGAGGGAGTTGCTAGATCCCAAATATGGAATGTTCAGGTATTATGAAGAGTCCAGGCTGATCTGGTTCTCCGATAAGGTAGGGCAACATCTATAGCCGTTAATTTTCTTTTAACTTACAGTATTTATATTAATAATGTATGAACATAGTAGTTTGTGGTAGTTTTATTTCAAGAGAAGCGGAAGTAAGTATTCTCAAAAAATATTGATTTTTGTCATTGTTAGATCAAAACTTTCCCCTTCTGTTTTTCTCCATTCCTCACTTACTCCTTTCCAGTTGTCCCTAACCCAGACAAGTTTAGTAGGAAGAAGCGCCAATCAGAGAAAACTGATTGCAAAACCAGAATCAGTGAATCAAAGTGGCAGAGAAAAATACTGGAAGTGGCGTGCTGAAGAGGTCTTCCTGTGTTCAGTCACATTTATGGGTCCTTTTTGTAGGTAGTCATCTGGTCATACTTTCCAGGAAGCTTTGATTATCGAGTTTTTAGTCCTCTTTCAGAGGAGAGCACTGACTAGCGTGGCCGTATCACAAATACCTGAATGTTAACGCTTCCACAGTTGTGTGTTAAGCTTTGGCCATCAACTCCAAGGGAGTCAATAGCGAGCTCCTCCCTATAAGCGCTGAATAGTGCCGTAGTAAGTCACTGACAAAAGCAGAATCTTATTGCAGTACTTTCAGCAGTATGCATCACTTGTAACACAAAATATGTTGCATCTCAGCTTTTTGGTTTTTTAAGTGGCAAGGGTTCCATTTCCTTGAATTTCAGTCTCCCAGCTGGTTAAAACCTTTTCCTGTTTTCCTCAGTACTTATGGATACACACATATTTAAAGAAAATACAAATGATACTCAGATTAGACTGCACTGTATGCTTTTTTCTGGACTCTGGAAGATTAAAATGACTTCTTTATTTTAAACCATCTTGTTTGTTTTCTGTTCTTAGACCTTTGAAGACAGTGACTTGTTTCATTTGATTGGTGTTGTCTGTGGGCTAGCAATATATAATTTTACTATTGTAGACCTTCATTTCCCTTTGGCTTTGTACAAAAAGCTATTGAATAAGAAACCATCCCTGGATGACTTAAAAGAGTTGATGCCAGATGTTGGCAGGTAAGCAAGAAAGAAAAAATGAGTATTATTAGGAATTAATTTTTAATTCAACATTTCCCCTTAAGAACATAAAGAAAACGTGTTATTTCCACACTAACAGGATAAACAGCTCAGGGTAACTTGCAGCCATCATGTCATTTGAGAAAGGGTGCATGCTGTCGTTTAACACCTACTTCTAAATGCTTGATTTTAGTATTTCTGCCTTCTGTTTTATTATCCTACAAGAATTTTAGGGGAAAATAATGGTAATTCAAAACCTTTAAGTTTTAGCCATTGATTTTATAAGCCTAAGTGTGAACATAGTTTTAGTTCTGAACAGCTTTAGTCCATCAAGAAAACTTTTTGCTGATTTCAGGAACAAATACATGCTAAATACCTGCCCTTAAGTAGGGATTTGAACAGCACTAACAGGTAGGAGGTTCAAATGGGCAAAAGTGAAGTTTGATTGCCTCAGTGTTGTGAATGGTAAAGTTCTCATTGATTTGAAGAGAAATCACATAAGGTTATGGAAGAGCCATCAATGGTTATTGAGGTTTTACTGCCTCTGGTGTGGGAATCTCTTACCTGAAGACTAAGGTTCTAGTTCTAGACTAGTACTTCTACTTCTTTTCTCTTCACACCTGGAGATAATCCAAAGGAAATAACACTACAAGTAACAGCAAAACGATTGCTGGAGATTTCCCAACACTGCACAAGCTGCAAGTCAGTAAGCTAATACATGAAATAAAAGTGGAAAGATTTTTAATTTTTTTTAAGCTAGAATTAGCATAAAGAATACTTCAGGAAAATAAGTTCATCTTTCTTTCAATTAGTGTAAGTACTTTGTAACTTATTTTGCAGGGGAATGCAACAATTACTGGACTATCCAGAGGATGACATAGAAGAAGCATTTTGTCTTAATTTTACTGTAAGTTATATCTGCCTCTGGAGTGTTTGAGCTAAAGCATCAGCTGCTGATTCCCATGAATTTTAACATCTGTCTGCTGTTCATGTTGCTGTTAGCCGAAGTGATGGGAAGAAGTAGTCTATGCAGTAAATAAGATTGATACGATTTTTGTTTGTTTTAAATAGATCACTGTGGAAAATTTTGGTACAACAGAAATTAAAGAGCTTGTTCCTAATGGTGCTGACATTCCTGTAGTCAAACAAAACAGGTGAGTTTTATGGGTTACAGGGTAGTTCAGTGTTGCTACCTGCCTTGGGAGTATAACTGGGCTGCTGTAAATATCCTTTGCCAAGCTGTTACACTAATGTTGGAGGCAAAACTACTTCGGTTGTTTTTCCAACCTGTTCTCAAGTGTGTTGTTAAAATAGCTATTGTATTTAAGGATTTGCCAGCTGTAGAGAGGCTATCTAACTTTACTCAGAATGTGTAATGCTTTTTTTTCCACTTTGAACTTAAAATATTTAAAGCTCTTTAGGGCCCATTTTGACTACATGATCTTCATTTTATAAGATTAATAATGGTTGTGGTTCTGCAGAAAGTTATATATAGTTGCAATTTAGTGAGTAAGGATAAAAACTTAAACTTCAACCTGCATTACTTGGAACTATTCATAGAATCATAGAATGGCACAGGCTGGAAGGGACCTTAGAGATCATCTAATCAACCTCCCTGTCATGGGCAGGGACGCCTCTCAACTAGACCAGGCTACTCAAGGCTCCGTCCAACCTGGCCTCGAGCACCTCCAGGGAGGGGGCATCCACAACCTCTCTGGGCAATTTATTCCAAATTCTCACCACCATATATGAAATATTATTTCAGGGAAATCTTCCTTTTGTAGAGCAGACAAATTAATCTAATGTTATCTAGTGTTATTGTCAGAAGAGTGTATGAGGGGTGGATTTTTTTTTTCCCCTTGGTCAAGAGTTCTGTTACTTCGGTTTATAAAAGTAATTTCTCCTGCCCTGTGTTCCCTTTCTGCTCCTGGAGGGTAGGCACGATATATCTGGTGGTGCTTTTGTCACTTTTTGCAGAATACTATCATTTTCCTATCTTGCTCTGTCCATTTCTCTCATGTATTTCTGTCAGTTCTTTAATCTTCAGGAACTCTGTACTTTTACTTCTCCCAGAGTAAAGGGAGAATTGAATGGAAAGAGCATACTATGAGAACAGAATGCACCTAGTCTGTGCAAGGTAGGAACAAGGGAGAAAATGTCCCTCTAGGCATGTTCTGAGAGGGAAAATGTTTTGGGCAACATTTTC